ATTGTTTGTTTCACTGATTTCCATGATATTGCAGCTCCATGTCTTAAAAATACATATCCTATTTGAGATTTAGCTCTTGTAATATCAGATTTATATCTTGTATCACAATATCCAACCAATTTTGGGTCTGCAGATTTTGTGTAATATAATCCCAAGTCTTCAGTACCTTTTAAATAATGTAATAAATGTTTGATGCCATTCCAATGTCGTAGTGTTGGACGTGCACTATGTCTTGTAAGAAAACTAACTGCAAATGCAATATCTGGTCTTGTAGATGTAGCTAAATACAAAAGTGCTCCAACCACTGTGAGGTATGGATATTGGTCTCCCAATATTTCCTCCTCTTCCTCACATGGACGGTATGGATTATGACCATCACGACCATGTCCAACCATTGGAGTGGACAATAGATAAGCATCATTCATATTAAATCTTTGCAAAATTCGTCTAATATATGTTAATTGGTAGAAAAAAATGCTACCATCTGTAAGATGCATAATCTGAAGACCAATGCAGAAAGTTATTTTTCTTAGCATTTTCATCTCAAATTCACGTATAAGTAGGTTTGTAGCTGTAATACATGCAATTGTAGTGCCCACTAGGTTAAGATCATCAACATATACAGCTATGATCACAAAACCAGTTTTATCTCGTTTGATAAATAAACAAGGGATTAGTGGATCACTTATAAAATTATTTTTAATTAAATAATCTCGAAGACGTTGATACCACATTTGTTCGGATTGTTTTAAATCATACAAGGCCTTACATAATTTAATACCACGATATTTTTCTGGAGCGGGTTGATTTGGAGTTCCTATTTCTAAGCCAGGTGGAACTTTCATATAAATATTTGCATCAAGAGAACCATATAGATATGCAGTAACTACATCCATCAGATGCATCTCAAGGGTGGCATGAACTGTCATTCCAATAATATAACAAAATGTAATTGAATCCATGACTAGAAAATATGTGGATTCATAATCAATGCCAAATCGTTGAGAAAATCCTTGAGCAACAAGACGAGCTTTATAGCGGGTTATTTGGCCTTGAGCATCTCGCTTACATATTAATACCATTTCATATCCCACAGGGCGAGATGTAAGAGTGTCTACAATTGGACCAAAGACTTTTCTCTTATGCAAAGAGGCATACTCTTCTTTAATAACAGTTTTCCATTTTGACCAATCAGAGCGATGTATCGCCTCTTTGATGGTTTGAGGTTCAAGATCGTCTTCTTCGTAAGAAAGGGCTTCTATAATCATATATGCAAATGATTCATCTACCGTAATAGATGGTCTGTTCTAAATATCATCTGTAGCACAATACAGAATAGATAATTCTTTACTCAATTTGTTCTTATTCTTTCTAATTCCAAGATTGTTTTTCATAGGAATTGAAGGTACATTATGCATGGATATATCATCATGAATTGGTAGTCCTGCAAGATGAATGGCAATTGCTTGAGAAATAATACTAGGATTAGTTAATTTTATAGCTTTCTTCTTACGTGGCTGCTTATCTGGTCCACAAGTTCTTTTAGTTGTTGTTGTTATAACTTGAGGTATTGTAGTCAATGGCACTGCAATCTGAGCAGGTGCATTCCGAGCCTCATTAATAAGAACTCTTGTAATTCTATGTGCATCATTGAAGCCATCAAGTGTTTCATCCGCGATCCGTTTTAAATGCAAAATCTTAGCAACTTTAGTTTCTGCCAAAGATGTCCTAGGATCGAGATTCATTGTAAATATTTCTGGTACTTCAAATATGAGTACTTTATTTCTTTGTTGATTGGATACTCCTCCTTCAAGAGATGGATATACAGTTTCTTCAAAACGGCAATTTTATAGACGTGCATGTAATAATATGCCAGTTGATGGATCAACAATACGAATAATGCTTGGTGAATCAAAACCAACATATATGCCTTCTTGTCGATGACCTCCAATGATACGTCATTGAGGTTTTGGTACTGGAATCCAAGCACGGCAACCAAATACTCATAAGTGAGATACATTTGGAACACAACCCGAAATGAGTTCACGTAGTGAAACAGTTTCAAGAGAAGAAGGGCGGAGGCGTATTAATGCTGCAGCATGTAAAACTGCATGACCCCACATAGATGTAAGTAGATTTGCGTGAAGGAGGAGTGGCCGCGTAACGAGTTGTATACGCTTTATAAATGACTTTGCAAGTCCATTTTGAGCATGTTCATATAGAACACAATATGTCAATTCGATTCCTGTTGCAGTACAATAGTCTTCAAAAGACTTTGATGCAAATTCTTTTGCATTATCCATACGCAATGTTTTTATAAGATAATTAGGAAAATGTGCCCAAAAGTGAATAAGCATAGATATAAGATTGGCAAACACCATGTTTCGAGTTGATAATAATGAAACATGTGATTGTTTACCTGATGCATCAACAAGGACCAAAAAATAAAGAAATGGTCCTGATGTTGGATTAATAGGACCACAAATATTACCATGCAATCTTTCAAGCATTGGTGGTAATTCTTGTAGAAGTTTCCAAATTGAAGGTCGAGTAATCATTTTACCTTGCACGCATGCATGACTCAATTCCATAGAGTCTACATCTGCATGCTTTAAATTGTGTCCAGTTATACATGGAATGATCTTTCTAAATAATGTGGATCCTGGATGTCCCAATCGTCCATGCCAGAAAAAAACGCGACTCTCTGAGATAGATGATACAAAATTAAATATAATGGAAGGTCGAATCACAATTTGGTATAAACCATTTTCTGTAGCAAAAGCTTTTTCAAGAACTTTATGGTTCTTCGCAAGAACCAAAACTTCTTTTCTATTTAAAGTGGCCGTCGAGAGGTGATAACCATTAATACGCACATCTCGGTAGCTGATCAGACTCCAAGGTGCTGAGGGTGCAAACATCGCATGTTTATATTTTATGATGGAACCCGTAGGTCATTTTACCATCATTGTGCCATCTTGGAAACAAAACGTATTTGCTCCAGCTATGGTCATCATATTTTTAGTTTGCCAAGTTGAAGATTTTTCAATAAAAAATCGTCTATCTGACAAGATAGTATGTGTTGTTGTAGAATCAATGAGCGCATCATTTGATTCATCATTAGAGGTTCTATTAGTCATATAAGCCTCTAAGTCATCAACACCAATTGAATCCATGGACGCATCTATGGTATGAACTTCACGAGCCTCAGCTCGTAATTTCTTATTTTCTTGGAACATTTTAATAAAATGTCCTGAAGTACGGCATGCATGTGCTAAATTTCCAATCATTCCACACTTATGGCAAGAACGCATCTCTGATTTTTGTTTTCTACTATAATTAATAGTAGAATGTTTATTCTTTCCATATAGATAGAAATGGTCTTGACTATGATTACCTTGATACTTATGAGCACGTTTCCCATGTTTATATAATTTCTTCTTAGACTTTGAAATATTAAGTGTATGAGATTCAAGAATTGTAGTTCCAATAGGACGAGCTTCCGCATTGCACAAGAGTAGCTCATTTTGCTTCTCTGTAAGAAGTAGATAGGACATGAGATCAGAATGACTCTGAAATTTCATGTTCCTGTATTGTTGTGCAAGCACAACAGATGCAGGAGGAAATGTAGAGAGAGTTTTTTCAATCATTTCTTCTTCAAAATTGCTTTGTCCACATAATCGTAATTGTGAGATAATACTATACATTTCACTATTGAAAGCATTTAAATTTGGAAAATCCAAGACACATAAATGTATCCAATTGTGACGTGCACGTGGAAGAAAAATGGTCTTTTGATGATCAAACCTAGATTTAAGATTCTTCCAAAGTTCTGTAAGGTCTTCTATTTCCAAATATTGATATTGTAATGCGGATACAAAATGACGACGAAAGAAAAGAAGTCCTTTCCAACTAATAGCATGAAATATAAAAATACTTGTTGTAGGAGATTCTTCAAACATAATGGCATCCGAGAGTTGTTCTGCAAATAAATTTACTTTTGCCATTTTTGCCCATAATAGATAATTGTTTCCATCCATAGTCAATGGTAGAAATAAAAGAGCTTGAAAATGTTGGGATGCACTGATAATAGTAGGAACCATAGTAGAAGCAGTTGAAGATGTTGAAGCTCTCATTATAAATAAATCTATAAAGAAAATACAAGATCAAGTAAAAAAGTGGAATAAAACATACCTTAAAATATAAAATCAAATAAAATGATAAACTTAAACTTGAAAAAACAAAAATATATATATATGTATATATATATATATATATATTTCATTTTTTTAAGGAGAGATGGTTGTAGATTAAGGCAGCAAAACAGCAATAAAATGGCCGCAGCAGGTAGCGGTAGGGCGGCAGGGTGGCAGCGGCGGACAGCGGCGGCGGGTGGCGGCGGGCAACGGTGGACAGCAGCGGCTGGCAACGGCGGGCAATGGTGGGCGGCAGCGGCGGGCAGCGGCGGGCAACAGCGGACATCGGCGACGGCGGGCGGCGGCGGCAGCGGCGACAGGGTGGCAGCGGCGGATTCGGCGTCTATTCGGCGGCAGTTCGGCGGCAGTTCAACGTCTGTTCGGGGCGCAGCACGGAGCAGGGAGCAAGCAGAGGGTGGAGTTGGGCTGGATCAAGTATTCAGAGCAAGCAAGGCAAAGAGTGGAACAAGTGCTCTAAGCAAGCAGCTAATGTGTGAGGTGCCAGCAAGAAGAACAAGATCATGACCCAGACACTAAGCAAGGGTAGCAACAGGTTTGAAGAGTCAAAGACTAGAGCAAAAAAAATTGTGATAGTATGTAGAAGAGAACAGTGCTGATGAAGTGTTGAGAATGTTCAGAAAGACACAAGAGTAATAGTAAGTCATACACACACACGAGTAGTAGTAAGTCATACACACACACAAGTAGTAGTAAGTCATACACACACAAGGGTTTCTAAGGAGAGAGAGCTTCACACACACAAAAATCTATTGATCTGGTTGTGTCTGGTTCACAAGAAGAGAGAAGATAAGAGGATGAACAGTACTTCTCCACTAAACTCTAAATACTGTAGCTACAGTAATTACTATAGTGTACAGTAAATATTATAGAGAGCGTCGGCTACATTTAATGATCTCAACAATTCTGTTGGGGAGGCTGAGACGCACACGCTCCCACTCCCTCTGCCTGCTGCTCTACTCAGCTGCGCTCGTCTCCACTCTTCGTTGGATTGGGATCGCCTCCTGCTCTTGCTTGCCTTTGTCGTCCACCCTTCCTTTGCTTATCCCGTCCTTTCTCATTGCTTTTGTTTTTTTCGTTTTTTTCTTTCCCTCTTTCTCCGTTTTCTTGCTGGGTGCAATTGAACTGTTTATCGTTGTTGGTGATTCATAGCATTTTTACGTTCGGCTGTTGACCTCGCGCCTTCTTTCATCTCTATCCAGTGCCTCACCCGATTTTTCACACCGCCTTTGGTTTAGGGTTTTATTTTATTATTTTCAAAAATTTCGTCGCACATTCTGACTATGTTATCTAGAGTCCTTTCCTTCTTTGCGAAGCGCGGCAAGCAGCTGGCCGGTTCTGACAAGGCTGGTAACACCTACTATCGCCAATTTAAGGATATCGATGGCACAGGTAATTTCAACATAACTCTTAGTATACACTCACATGTAACTTCAATGGATCCATTATCCCGTGAAGACAGCTACTGATCAGTATTCTGCGGCGCTGACCCAGTCAAGGAGCGCCGATGGGTTGAGTTTGGAGGCTCTTCAGTTGTGGAGCTCATACCTGGTAAGGAATTATTCTCTTCGTGTATAAGTGATTAGATGCGTCTCAGGTTTATGCTAGTGACAATGCTTTGTACAGATTCATATGATGTAATTTTTTTATGCATGGCAGTTGAATGGAATAGCTGGCTCAATGGAAGACGTAAAGAACCTCCTACCCCTGAGGTATCATCCTGTTTTCGTTGTGTCAGTTGGGCATTTTGATTCCTCTCTCGTAGCCCCAGAACACACCTTCACGAAAATTTCTATCATTTAGTATTCGACGCAAGAAAATCCAAGTAAATATGTCTGGGACATCGACTTTTAGAAGATAAATTTCACAACGCAGGAGTCATAGTTCTTCAAACAGTTTTAAAATATGTATTTGGCTGTATCTTGGATTTTTGATGCATCTACTGAGCTCGATGTTTCCTCGTAACTACAAGTTTCTTTTGTATTTAAGGCACTATTCCACTTCCGCAATATTCTTGATTTTCTGTTTTGGTCTAAAATGTCTTCTATACAGTGGGACAGATCGAGATGAGAAATGTGAAGGATATACGTGATTTGTTGACCAGGAAATGATGGAATTTGAAGCACGCCGAAACGCCATCAAGGCCAAGGTTGCATGTAAGTTTTCTTCAGGTTTAGGACATGCGTATGAGGTCATATACCACTTCTTCCTTGTAGACAATGATAAGGATGTCGGCAAAGTACATGGGAGGAAGATATGCTTGCGAATTCAGCTTCTGTGATGATTTGATCTGTAATTAGGGTCTGACATTTATTTAGAGCATCCTACGTTGTAGTGAGTACATTTGTTTTGCGGACCGACGTCAGTGCATTATGTTAATTTCTGATGCTCATTTGTTTGCAAATCAATTTCACTTACTCAATCGCTATTCCTTGGCGTTTCTTCTTTCACGAAACAGTGCTTGAGAAAGAAGAGGAGAAGCGTCGATATCGTGCTAAAGCACTTCAGCAAGGAATTAACGGAGGTAAGAATAATTCGATCGAGAGCACGCAACCATGAGAAAGGCAACTTCCAAATGCCTCGCGTTTGTACATTTACTTAATAAGAATCTTTTTGTATTTAACTCTATATTCTCACTATTGTTTCATTAATGGTGTAAGATGTGTTATTTCTCTGATTTCACGAGTTATACTATCATGCTATATTTTTTTGAGCTAAGCCAAGCAGTTGGAGTCGCAGATGATCTCTCTCCGCACACTATGACACGGTATTTGCAGCAAGTCACCGAAAGTGATGTTCCTGTGCAGCAAAACGATGGTAATCTGCTGCTGATAAGCAGAAATTCTTGCGATTTCGTAATTTCTGCATTATGTCAGTGTTGGCATGGCGTGCCTCCTGTGGTTGATGTAGTTAGATGGTCTAATTCATGCATGCTTTGTAACTAGAACTCGACTCTTATTTGACAGTGATTAAGCTACTTGTATGTTTCACTCATTGCTAAGCAGACTCCAAGGTTGTACAAAAAGTGGGTGATTCTGAGCCAAAATTCGAACCGGAAGCCTGGAATCCAAGTCTCCCTTCCAAGAAGTAATGTCGTCTACGATCATTTATGCTGTAGGCTTATATTCTTTAAAACTAGTCAACTTTCTAATGCTCTTGGACCAGAATTCTATCCAATGAACGAGGAGTTTATAAATTTAGTTTAAAGCTCTGTCCGATGCGGTTATAGAAAATTCGAAGAGATTTTTTTGAGTTGAGTCTTTAATGGAATTATGTTGCTACAAAATGTATGGTTCATGTAATGTACCTCCTTTTACTAGCGGTGGAACAGAGCGGAGCAAGTTTCAAACCAATGGTGGCTTCTGAGCTTTGTTGGGAATGCTGCGTACGATTTGTTGGACCTTGTAGCGAGGGTTCTGTGATTTGGACCTTCGGGGAGTTGTTATGCAAGGTCGAAAAACTCCGAATTTGTGACCCTATCCATGTATCTGTTCATGCTAGCCCAATCCATAGCTGGTGATTCGAGTCAGTTGGAATTAGATTATCACTTTGTGGGTTTTCGGCTAAATTAGGTTTAAATTCAGAACTATTGCAGATGAATTTCAAGATTAACAAGCCAATGAATGATGATTGGGTTATATGAATGGCATGTATTATTATTGATTTAGTGCTCATCATGTTACAATTTAGCCCATTTGCACTCCTCACAACTTTCTTTCTTATGCTTTTTCAAAGAGCTGCACACAAAAAAATCTGTCTTTTTTCCTGACCTCCATACAACAGTTCTTGAGAATGCTATAGGTTTGTTCAAGTTAGACTACGGTTAAGAATTAAATATTCAAAATCTGCATTGAACTCTACCTTAGTTAACCAAAAAGACATTGTACAACTTTGATATACAATGTTTTTTGGCTGTCTAAGTAGTTACCTAATTCCATAATTGTGCCAAGTTCTTCTTCATTTAGTGTTTATTTTATATGAAATGAGGTCTTGATTTATTTTTCTAAATTTAAAGGATGTGTCTTAAGATATTTAATATTTATATATATTTATTTATTTATTGTCACCTTAATTTTTGTTGTTGCTACTCAACTTGCCATCTTTCATATGCTACCAATTTTTATTTTATTTTATTTTATTTTTTTAATGCCACCATAAGCTACCTGAATCTTAAGCACTACACCATGAGGCATTGTTTTTCAACAATTGGCATTATCACCATGCATTGTCCACATGGCAATAGCAAAAAATTCAAATGTTATTATTGTCATTCATCTTATACCCTCCAAAAAATTCAAATGTTATTATTGTCATTCATCTTATAGCCTCTTAATGTAGGTAATCTATTCACTTTTCTTTACAAACAACCAAAGGGAGTATTTAAGAGTCAAAAATTAATACAATCAACTTTAGTGATAATATTAATAGTTGCCATATGGTATGCAACTTAAATTTATGACAACTTGTGGTAGTACTGATAAAAATCATGGTAGAATAAGCTAAATGACAAGTTAGAGAAGCAATAGCAACATTCTATTTTTTTATTTACTTTATTCATTATTTATTGTCTTTTTATTTAAATTTAGAATGACTTTAAAAAAATACATCTTTATTTAAATTTTAATATAATAGATTTTATCAACAAAAATATAATAATTATTATTAATAAAACCTTTGTTATTATTAATTGCCACATATTAATTATTCTTATTAAGTTCAAAAGCAAATAAATAGAAAAAACCATTGTTAAATAAAGAATCTATATTCATTATTATTGCTTGATATAAATATAAATTTATATTTTAATTTTATTTCAAATTCTATCTAATTTAAAATATAAAAAATAGATTTGTATTATGTTCTATAAGAATTTTGTATAAGATTATTATTGACATCTATGACAATTCAAAACATATGATTATTTTTTTATAAAACTATCATTTATACACTAAAAATCTATTAAAAATTGATGTTTAATACCACTACTTTATATATTTAATATTTCTATTACACAAATAAGAAGTGTTAGGTAAAAGGTAAATGAAGGTAGATTTAAGAATATCTTGTAGAATAGCTTTTTAAATTTTTTATAGATGTGGATTTGACTTTATATGTGTTTGTGGTTAATTGGTAGATTAGAAATTTAGCAAAGTTGGCCATGTGTTGCACATATTGGTGACTTGTGGTATAAGTTGACCATCTGGTGTACATGTAGATAACTTATCTTGCAACTTAGACATGTATTGGAGGTCCTATAAAATGCTGACACATAACTCATACTCAAATAATATATATGGAGGTAAGAATGAAGCCTTCTTCACTCTTGTGCACACCTTTCTTGTTCTTAATCTTGTTTCAAAAATCTCTAATTGTCTTATCTTTGGCAATAGCCATTCTAGTTTCAATATTGTACCATCTTTGAGTGATTTTCTACTCTTTTTGAGTAACACAAGAGTGTGTTAAAGACTTTATTGTTTGTGATTTAATTACAAATTTAAATATAATTATTATTAATCTTAAAATAAAATATAATATAATTATATTAAAATATTCTAAAAATAAACAAATATTTATATTATTACTTTTTATATATTAAGTAATTTATTTATGTAAAAATATTATATTTCTAAATAAAAAATAATATATAAATTAAAGTTGTTTTTTAAAAAATACATTAAATGTAAAATTACTTTAAATTTTCTATCAATTTATAAATAAAAAATAAAAATAATAACATATTAAAATATATTTAATATAAAAAGAATTATATTAAATTATCTAATTAAAATTAAATAATTTAATTGGTAAATTTTATTGTTTATCACCAAATAAGGTGCATAAATTTAAATTATAGTGCTTCAGAGCTTAAACAAGGTTTTTCTTTATACATCCAGAAATTATAAATTAAAATATGAAAAATAAAAGATTCTTCAAACTTCTAGAAAATTCTTTTGTATTTGAAAAAATATTTAGAAGATTTTTTTGACATGAGTTTTTTATTTTATATTAGAAGGAAAAATAAAGAGTATATTAATTTTTTCAATTTTTATTTTCAATAAATCCATAAATAATCTTCTTGATTTTTTTATTTTAATTTTTAATTTTTTTCCTTATTGTTGTAATATAGACAACTTTGCAAATTTGTTTATATATTTTTTAATATATATATATATATATTCTTAGAGAAATTTATTATAATTGAAAGATTATAAATTATCTAAATTTAAAATAATATCTTATCTTTTATTAAAATTTTAATTTAATCTTAATTTTAAAAAATATTTAAAATATTTTATTTTTTCTTAGAAATTACAGATATCTTTATAAGAATTTATACTAGTAAAACCCAATAAATTTCTCAAATTTGAGGTTATGGATTATTCTTCTTTCAATTTAACTTCTGAATATACATTAATAAACATACATAAATAGATTATTGTTTTTATTAAATAATCTATGAGTAAAGATAGAAATAATATCTAAGATTAAAATTGATGCCACAAGATTGTACTATCATTAGAATGTCATAAAAAAGTTATAATATCATTTAAAAGAATCATGTTAGATAATTAAATAAATACCAGTTTTTTTTTGTCATTATTAACTACTTAATAAAAAAAAACATCTAAAACTAGAGAACTAAATAAGATTCATAAAATAAGAAATAAATCTTAAAGTTATTTAATAATAAGTGTAATTATGTTCTACACTTAGAACTTTAAACTACTTTGATAGATCTGTTCTGATTATTTATATATAAATAACTATATATATATATATATATATATATATATACATAGATTATACTGGCAATTAATTTTTTATAAAATATTTAGTAATTTGTAATTAATTCTTGATTTTTAATTGAATCTACATTGAAAATTCCTATCTATTTATACATGAATTTTATCCTTGATATTACACTTATTTATTACATGAAATTCATATTATTATCTATTTTAATAACTTAATTCATAATATACTTTTATATGTATTCAAAATAAGCTTCAAAAAAAGCTTCAAAATTATTATAAATCTTATAATTCAATGCAATTGGTGGCTAACATGTATTTTAATCTTTAGGGTTTCAATCAAATCTTTTAAGTAATATTTAATTTATTAAAATTTTATCCCAAGTCAACCAAATAAAAATTCCATTAAATATGAAGTAATTCCTACATCAAATAAAATTTAAATTTTGGTTAACATAATTAAATACTAGTTCTAAGTAAATTTAATATATTTTAATTATATCAATATTATAAAATTTATAAATCTTAATTAATTTTAGGAAACCTTTTTTTATTCTAAATTAATATTTATTCCAAATCTAATTCTAAAGAAATCTTAAGCAAATATTTATTCTAATCATATGAAAAAAAATGCTATCAAATCTAGTCTCAAATTTAAATTATTAAAAATTAAATTCTATTTTGGTTTTCAAAATTAAAATAAAGATAATCACATTATTTTATCTCCTTATCTATTTTATTTTTGAGAATTTTTTATACAACTATAACATAAGCTACAATTAATAAGTTAAAAAATGACAAGTAAAATTGTGTAGGAAGTAATGTAAGGTTAAAATTAAACATACTTGTGTGCATTAAAAGAGGGATCAGCAACAATAGAGCATTTTTTTATATTTTAATCTAGCTTGTTTAGAAAGTGAAAAAAACTCATCAATAGAAAATTCAATGATAATTATTTTTTAAAATTGCTCAGATAGGTAATAGAGCTTAAAGATTGAAATTTGTAGCAATTCAAATATGGAACAAAGTAATCTAGGAATAAATATAATATTTTTTAATTTAAATCTTTTAGTTTTATAATTTTTATTTGATATATAACTAAATAGAAGAAATATTATAATTACATACAATTCATCTTATATAGATATTAATGTTTAAATTTAAATAATTTTAAAAATCAATAGAAATTAAAAAATAAAATATTTTTTAATATTTAATCTAATTTAACTCTTTTCTACATAAATATATATTTATGTAATAAAAATTATCATATTTTAACCATTATATTTTTTAATTGGTATCTAAAATATTATATTAGTAAAGAACCCATCAAATTTCATTCACCTCATAAATTCAATTTGGCTCATATCATTCAAATCCAATTAAGAAATTAAAATAACAACATGTATTTTTTTTAAATGTAACAAGATCTACTTCTACTTTTAGATTTCTTCTATAATATTTTGACACTCTATTAGTTGCATCTATAATAAAATTAACCATATAGTAAGTAATTACCACCAAAATAGAATTCTACAAATATTTTGTAAATAATAGAACTAAACCAAGAATCATGATGTTTTTCACCATAGATTATAATTTGAGCCTAATAAGTCACTTACTACTTGATATTGCATTCAAAGCTAGAAATAACATTCTATTGTCATAAAAATATTAAAAAACTATATTTGAACATTATATCCAAAAAACATGTTTATATTTTTATTTTTAAAATAAATATTAAATAATAATAATAATAATAATCATCATAATAATAATAATAATTTATATATATATATATATATGTTACCTTCTCTTTTAATCTGAAAAATATGTACAAAAATTTGCAAATGCAGTTGCAAGGCTTAGCTAAGAGCAAGAATATTAACATTTAATTTCAAAAGTTAAAATTAGAGTTAAATAATAAAATGACAAGGATATATTAAACCTTCCTTCTATATCTAATTTGAGACTTTATTTATATTATTATTGTATGTATGTATATATATATATATATATATATATATATATTCTTCTTCTTTAATACTTAAGCTATTATACACAAATATATATATATATATATATATATATATACCCCATCAATATGTCAATTATATAACATTTTCTCAATTTAAATTAATACTTTTTACTTCTCTATCAATAATTGAATCTCATATGAATATTACTACTAAATTAAAAATTAAATATAAAATTTCAAATATATTATCAAATTTAATATATCCTAAAAATATATTTAAATTTATAAGTATCTAATCTTCTTAACCATGAAAATTATTCTAAAAATCAAATGCAACATATTTAACCTTAAAATTTAGAATCAAGGACAAATTGTAACTCTATACTTAAACTTTTCTAAAAAATTTGTAATACCTAATGTAAATGTAAAATTCAAAAAACATTTATAAATTTTTAAAAAATCTTAATTAATCTAGAGAAAAGTATTGCTTGTTCTTTTCTATCCAAAAAAAACTTTTTTTTAAATATCACATATCTAAATGATTAGAAACAAGCATAGTAATTCCAGGCTTTTGAAATTTTACTAAGTTTACATTATTCTTGACATGGAGCAACAAGAAAATGCTTGGTCCAATCAATAAAAATGTTAATGTATAGATCACAACTATTTCTTATAACTAATTTTATAAAATAGGTTTACAAGTAAAGAAATTCTTGTACATGTATTCACCATTTAAAAAAAACAACTTTGTGACTCTTTCCAAATTGTTCATTGCAAACACCATAGTAACAATAGTTACTAATTATTGTTGACACACTTCACTCAAAGCTGTACTTTCTTATATTTCATTTACATTGTAGATCATTGGCACACTATTTTCCGTACATATGTGTGCATCATTATTGGTTGAACAACTATAACATACTAACCTAACCTATATCAATGTCACCTTGCAAGCCATAACAAAAGACAAATAAAATACAATAATCAAATTGACACAATAAGGGCTTTAAGTGTGTGAAATATGAACTCAAAATTGTATTAGATTTGTATTTGTAAGTTGCATAAGCAAAAGGCTTATTCCAAGGGATTCTCTTGTTGAAATATATCAATTGCAAGTTTTGTCTTGTGCCAATGAACAAGAAGTCTTGCATAAACTCATAGCATGCATAATAAAAACTGCAATTGAAGCATTTTCTTAACCACACTAGTCATGCCAATGTCATTCTGTGTTCCAACAAGGTGAACAATTTGTTCAAAGCAACTAGTTGCAACCAACAGTAATGACAAAGAAGCCATCACTACTACATTGTCAAATGCATATAGACATTACTAATCAATACAAAAACAACACTATTAATGATTGGCATGTATTTGTCAAGTGTACTGACACCAAGATGAATATTATTCATGGATGTTGGGAACATTAAAAAGTCAAGAATTTTTTATTAAAAAAGAAGAAGAAGAAGAAGAAAGATTGGTTGGAGTATAAGACCTGTAGAAATGAGAAAGGAAAAGGAAAGAAGGCAGATCACAAGACTGGTACATGGACATGACCAATGAATTAAACAATGCTGGGATTGGATAGGATTGGAGGAATTGGGAAGTAAACGTGGTGGCATGAACGTGAGGGACGGAGGGAGGGGAGGTTTGCGGAACGGTGTTGGGAACGGAACGGAAAGGGCCGGGGCGAGCGAAACCCTAAACGGGGCGAGGCAGGGGTTAATCGGAGAAGCTTGGAACCGTGGTTCCTCTTTCGCCTTCGCGCACTTCGCTTAGCCCCCCTCCCATCGGATCGCCAGCACCATGAAGGTGAGACTCTTGCACGCTTCCTTCCATCTCCATGTTCTATTGTTCGCCTGCGCTGCTCTCTGTACCTCTCTGTTTCCGGTCTTCCTAATTTGGTTGCGTTCCTGACTGCAGCTCAACATCGCCAACCCCACTACGGGGTGCCAGAAGAAGGTTGAGATCGATGACGACGCTAAGCTGTAAGTGGCTTGGTTCTTTGCGACCCTTTGCAGTCTGTCGGTGGATGTTCGCCTGCAATTTTACGTGCTCTCTTGTTCGCGCCTGCGTTTTGCACTGCTTTTTAGGGTTTGGAGTTTTGCAAACGTATCACCCCTTTCAGATAGGCAGTGCGAGATTCAGGAATGCGCCACCTTTATATACGCCTAGCATGGGAGCTCTCTTATCGGTCTTCGGCTTTGTTTGGTGCTTGTGTTCAGTCGCCAATTCTACGACAAGAGATTGGCCCAGGAGGTCAGCGGTGACCAGCTGGGAGATGAGTTCAAGGGGTATGTCTTCAAGATCATGGGAGGCTGCGACAAGCAGGGTTTCCCAATGAAGCAGGGAGTTCTCACTCAAGGCCGTGTGCAGCTCCTGATGCACAGAGGTATGGCGATAGATAGACACGGGTGTTGGTGTCATGAAGTAGGCTAGTCTGAACGAGACATTTATGTCCTCGCTGCTCCTCTTGTGCAACAAGCGTTGAGTGGGGTTGTGGAGTGGTTTGATGGGCTCAGTATGGGTGCGAGAATTTAGTTCTCCCTTTTGTAACGATTATTGTGTGTTGTTGCAGGGGTCTCTTGCTTCAGGGGATACGGGAGGCGCAACGGGGAGCGGAGGCGTAAGTCCGTGAGGGGATGCATCGTTAGCCCAGACCTCTCGGTGTTGAACCTGGTTATCGTCAAGCAAGGTCAGTCAGTGTCTTTGCTAGGATAAATGAATCAACGTCCACGGAGAGGTTCGTCGGAGGCTGCTAATTTCCTTTCCCTGTCCGTGCAATGGCATTGAGGTGGCTGGAAGCAGGTGGTTTGTGGGTACGTCGGGGCCGCGTTGCCAAGCAGCAAGGTCGTTGTTAGGATCCTCCTGCGCCGCTAGTTTATTGAGTTGGATCCGGTATAGTTGTGTCGAATATGCTAGTTTGTTTTTGGGGGGGAGGGGGTGGGGATGATTATGAACCCACTTCTGGCTGTGGTTGTCGCAGGTGATAATGACTTGCCTGGACTCACTGATATTGAGAAGCCCAGAATGAGGGGTCCGAAGAGAGCCACCAAAATACGCAAGCTCTTCAATCTCACCAAGGAGGATGATGTGAGGAAATACGT